CACATCATGTACCAAAACTGTGGGAACTGCTTCTGTAATAAGATTTAATATTGCTCCTTTGGAAATGTCTGCATTGATTTCTGTCAGAGGCAGGATTAAATATATATAGTTCTTGTTTGTCTATCTGTGTTCTATGCAGATCTTATGAAAGAGTCAAAGGATGTGAGCCTGAGTGTTGGATTTGTTCTCAGTATCGCCTCAATATGCAGAAGTATTCCTGTCCAAGCTTGAGCAATAGCCTCACATACATGTTTTCTGTGTATTAAAAATTCGGAATAAAGTAATTAAAGGCTGCTGGGAATGCAGGCACATGTAATGTCATGTTTTCCCTTGCCCTTTGCTCTTGCTGATGCTCTGACCTTCGTTCTCTTACTGCCTTCAGCAGAATGACATTTAGCTGTAGATTGCAGGCACTACCCCGGTCCTGGGATGTGTCGTCTCATGTCCACAGCTGCCCAGGCTGCTTAAAAGCCACAGGTTGGAATATTTGTGACACAGACTTTTGTAACAACTTACTGGAGTCTTTCCTCAAGGAAAATTTAAGTTGCTCTGCTTAGGACTGCTGATTTTCCATCTAGAGGAGTTGACATGATCTGTGGATTTGAAGATAGTATTCTATGGGACAGCCTGAACTGGTGGTTTTTGTTTTATACTAGGTTTCAAAACTGGGTGTGGAGAACAAACTGCAGGATTTCATGCAAGCAGTCAATTTTGTGGGCTGTGTTGTGGATGCTGCAGGAGAATTGTGGCCCATCTGTTTATGCTGGTGTGAGCAGATGGGGGAGAAAAAAAAAAGCTTAATTCATGTTCATTAAATCCTATCCATCGCCCTTCCCGTTTCTAAAGTAAAAGCTGAAATCTTTCAGTGGGATATTATTTTGTGGAGAACTGGGTAAGAAAGAGTACCCATGTTTTAGTAAAAATAACCAACTAGTTTTAGGGTAGACAAGTTCTGTCTTCTCGAAATGTTTGCTGGAGGGAAAGTTTTCTGAGGCTGGAGTGCAAATATTTGGTCAGGCCCTGGCCACCAGCGTATGGCTGATGTGAGAGGGGCCTGTTGAGGCACAGGGCTCTCCTCATGGCATGGCTGTCCTTTGGCAGCATTGCTGTGTAGCATGAGGGAGCCCACAGTTTTAGAAGATGTTCTGTACTCACAGCTTGGCTTGCCCTAAAACCCCAGCCTACAAATAGTGAGAAGGTATGGGTAAATAAAGGATAACTATTGTGAAGGTGGGCTGTCTGAATTACACACATTTGTGCATTTGTTCTGGGTGACAGGATGCTGCCTTGAAAATCAGAACGTGGATCAATTCATTGCTGTCTGAGGACTGAATGGAGGATGACACTGCTCAACTGCTTTAATGCACTGACAGGGGGTAGTGGTGGTGTTCTTTGGGCTCCTTGCTGACAGAGCCATCCTTTGGGTATCTCTGAGGTAAAATAAGCGATGTTCACAGCTCTCGGTCACTGTATTTATTATTTGCTTCTAAACCAAAATGAGCTGTGGTCACTGAGGACCAGCACAGAGCTGTTAGCTAGAGAATTTTTAGTAGTTCTTAGGTTTATAACCATGCCAGGAATATTTGTGTCGCAAATAAAAAATACCCTTTACCCAAGAGAACACAGGGGCTGGCAGCTTCTCACAGCACACTGCAGAAGGCCCCAACCTGGTAGGGGTCGTGGGCTTGAGGTGTTCCTGCCCGCCTTGAGGAGATGCTCCAGCTCTGCACCCAGAGCCAGGCTTGGAGCTAATTTGAACTGAAAGACTGGAACGTTAGCCTTAACATGAGAAGTGAGCCGTCTTCTAAAAGGATTTTAGAGACTTACAGCTTCAAATAGCTGCCTACTAAGATTTCTAGGCTGCCTGAAGTTTTTTTTTTGCTGCCTGAAGTTTTTTGTTTTGTTTTGTTTTTAAGTCTTTCTCTTTGATAATCTTGAAAACCTTTGGAAGTTTAGTAAGGGTAAATTTGAAGGTACGGGAGCTTGTGAGACAAGACAAAATTATAGTTCGATAACTTTGCACTTACAGTTTGTGTTGAGATTTGTCTGTATACCTACCCTTGTGTTTCCAAGAGATTTAACGCAAAATGAACTTGTATAGAACAACATACTTTGAGAAGGTTTCACTCACGTTGCTATGAGCTCTACGCGGAAATAGTAAGGGGTGAACCTATTTTGGGGAATGGTATCTTTAGTACAGATGTCCAAGCCTTGCTGGTGGCTTCTCATGAAAGCTGTCCAGATACTTTTATTGTGCCTTTCAGTAGCTTTTCAGCAATAATTTCAGAATGCGCAGTAATTAAAAGAACAACATGCATCTCTGAATTCCATTTTTAGTGACAGAGCTTGGATTTAAATAGATCTTAAAGGAGTATCAGAGATTTGGCCTGACAGGCAATAGGCTGGTGCAAATGGATGTTGTCTTCTGTTCCTGACTGCCTCCTAAATGATGGTGCCAAGGTTACTGCCAGTGCCAGGCTGTGAGGGCATTTAGGCTTTGCCCTTTCCCATCAGCTTTATCAATGGGGATTTGTATTCACAGCATAGCTGATGATTCATTTCAACACGTGGCTGAATACTTGTAGCTCTTTCAGCAGCACGTGTGTTGGCATGGCAATCAAAATGAAGCAAGATGTGCTTGTTCTTGGCTCTTGAGGAAGGTGTGTGATGTGTGGCACTTCTCTGGTTCTACCCACACTGTGAGTGTTCCTGGTATAATCTGAGATTGTGGTTCTTATTGATGTTAATCTGCCTTTTCAGAATGGCAATAGGACCATTACGTTTCCTTTTTTTCTTACTGTACTGTCAGAAGGATTATGTAGCATGGTACAAGTGCTGGGAAAGCAGAGCTTCAGAGCACACTTTCCTTCAACTACCCTGTTAGTTCTAAAAATTATTTGTGACCTTATGTTCAGATTTGGCAACTGCAAAATGGGGCTTTGCAGCCAAGGCCTTAGAGCACGTGTGACTCGACTTCTGAGCAGAGTCAAGTTTGTTTCAATTATACATTATACGTAAGTATGTAGGGAAAGGTAAAGATTGAAGGAAATACATTTTTGCTACCTGATATTTTTGTCCAACTACAAGCAAAATACCATGTTCTGCAGATTGGATTTGAGTCTTTTGTCAACTTGTCAAGTAAATATTAAGCCCTTTCCAAGATGTTTGCATCATTTGCCCTCAAGATAGGGTTTAATTGCTATTTTTTTCAGTAAATTAATTTGTTGAATAAAATTTGTGCTTCTAAAGAAGTAGATTTTCTTTGTTTCTTGTTTATGGGATAGTGGTGTTTTTTTTCTGAGAAATTTAAACCATGCTCTTTCACTTTTGCATTTTTGTCAGTATTACAAAGATAATGTGGAACAGTTACAAGTTCTGGGATGTCTGGGATGTATCTGCTTTAGCCAGTCTTCTTGCTTCACAGAGGGAAGAATAAATATGGAAGTAAGTGTGAGGACAGAAGGACCTTCACTGCTCGTTTCCCTTCACCTTGTAGGAGTTAAGTTATGGCTGCAGCTAATTAAGTAAAGATGCTGCTCCAACCGTGTTATCTCAGGTGTCTTATTAACTGAAGGGAGAATGTAGGAGGAAATGAAACTCCCTCCTTCTTGCTTCTTCACCTGCTGGAGCATTTATTTCCCCTTGTCCATATGTGTGCTGTGAGAACGCTAAGCGTAACAAATGGTGTTTGCATTTAGTTCTGAACGCACTGAGGTCCGCGATCGCTCTCATCTCAGCAAACACGAGCTCTGCAGCCTGCCTGGCCGCCCAGCAAGGTCCCACTCTGTGCCTGTGATGGATGGGTTTGCTGCTCTAATGAGGCATGGCTGTTGTTGGAGGTCACAGTCACAGAAAGGGAGAGGCAATCTGTCTGCAGTGAAAAGCAGTTCTGTGCAGGCCTTGAATACCAAGGCACAGACATAGCATCTCATTTTTTATTCGGTGTAGGAGACCAATATAGGGCGGAATCTGAAGGTAGAAGCCAGGCAAGTTGTCTACCTTGTATTCTCTCCTTTCTAGACTCATTTTAGACTTTCAAAGCCAACGATGATAAGGATAACTGAGCACTTTTCAATCAGATCAAGAAGTAGCAAATTAAGAGTAACAATTTATGTTGATTGAGTTGTTCATAGTTGAAATAGTGAACCATAGCTGTAGAACTGAACACATTTCCAGTCCCCTCACACATCTATTGGTTTAACAGCATTTGTATTTAAGGTCTAAAAATGAGAACGATTTGTCGTGGTAGATTTGATAGTCTAACTGATTAGCCTAAAGACTGTGTTTGAGTACTGCACATTTGGCTGATTTCTGTTTGAGGAGAAAGAAGACGAAACGCTTTCTCTAAGGATGAAGAATGTTTCTGCTCTCAGGCCTTTTAAGAAAGGCTTAGGAAAGGGAGGGATGAACACATCTCCCTCTGGGCTCAACTGCATGAAATTTATCCACTGTTGTTCACTCATATTTCTGTTCTTGGGTTTGTTCTTTGACTAACTGTAGGTTGGCAGTAATTGCCAACATTGTTGGTATAGAATCAAAGCTATGAAAGAGCAATGTGTTCTCCAGAAAGTTGGAAATTTGATTTATGTGTAGACTTTGTAAAGCAGAGTGTGTTGTATGCCTGTTCACTGAACACACCATTCAGGAGTAAAATATGTAACATGAAAGCAGTTTTTTCTTTGTTGGTTTTCTTTTGTTTGTTTAAGGCTTTATTTACTTCAAAACTGTTGATCTGAACAGTTTCAGGTGGAAGTATCTAATGTTGTGCAAGTATGGGTCTAATTACAGATGTGCTTCTGGTTTGATATGAAAGTTTATTGACTTGTCTCTTTTCAGCCCAGTTCATCATACTACTGTCTAAACAAACAGCATATATTTGTAGGAAAGGAGGGATTTCATGTACTGATCTATTTGAGGTCTAAATTTCTATTTAAAAAAAAAATCTTAAAAGCAAACTTTATTTATATTTATATATAAATATATATATATTTGTTTTACAGGTTGATCCTGCTTTGAAGGAAAAATTGAAGCAGAACAATGTGACGTTGGAATCTGAATATAAGGTAAAATAAATCTGTTGCTTGGGGCTCATAACTTTGGCTCCTCTTTATTACCCTAGCTGCTGGTGGGGTGGGTCTGTCCCTATCTAAAATTAGATCAGCCATCTGCCTTGGACTCACTGATGTTCAATAAAAATAAGGTTTTATGTAAAGGAAGATTTTTGAACATGCAGTGCTTCTTTCTGAAAACAGCTTTACTTTGATGTCCAGGTGCCAACAAATAAATTTGACTATGTGTGTGGTTTACCTGGTCTATAAAAGTAGAGCTGATGCTGGGCTTAGATGTTATGATTATGTGTATATGTCAACACTTCTGCTACATAAGTTTTGATGCTCTTTAGCCTGAACAGTGTACTTGATGTGCTGCCTCTTACCATTTTCTCGCTTTTTAAACTTCTGTATAGCTTTCAAACAATCGTGATTACTTTCTCACTATTTCAGGAAATTTTATAGAGAAATATTTCTTTCTTTCCTCCACAGTACATTTTCTACAAATATTACTGAGCTTCAAAATAGCTATTTTGTCCAGTTTAATATTTAGAGTTTCATAAATCTTCAGGTCTGCAGAAAGCCTTGTTAGGAGAACTGGAAAAAGGCTCCTTGTATCCAGAAGCAAAGCATAAAGCTAATTCAGATAATTTTGATGTTTTAAAATTGCAGATCAGATGTCTAGTTAACACTTTGTCTATCGCCGTGGTCTTCCCGGTGATTATGGCATTCAACATTCCTGTCACAAGCCCTTCAAGAGCTTGATTGCACCCATAGCTCTGACACTTAAGAGTCCAAATGGTGGTACGTGGTCTTGCTAATAAAACCTTTCTATTACATTACTCTTCTGTGACTCATCTGTGAAAGAACTCTCAACCTTTTGCACTTCTACCTATGCAATTTTGCAGAACATCTGCCTACTTGCTAGACTTATGACAATGTTTTACCATTACTGAAAATAATTTGGAGCTGTGTTCTATAACAAACTGTGTTCTTTGGTGTGGGAAATAAAAAGTTTTGATCTTTAAGTAATGTGGAAAGCTCAAGTGGAAACTCAACACATACAAATCCAGTCAGTTCTGAATGCCTCTGCAATTACTCTGCATCTCGTTTTCCATAGAATATAAGTGTGTCCACTCTGATTCATTTATATGGAAGAACCACGAGCAATAAAAAGAACCGCATCTCTATTTTACTTGCTGCCTAACCACAAAATCAACTGATCTGTATTCAGATATGCTTAGATTTCTTTCCAACAAGATAAGTAAATAGTTGAAGGGTAATATTTAAATGGCCATAATTGCATCAGCTTTATGGAGAAATCAATGGTAATAGGATGTGGCCCGCATAACAACGTATTACAAGCCTACTCAGGTAATGAGGTTCCTTCCTGATGGACAGAAGTGACAGAAGCAATCTTACTTTTTCTTAATCTAAACTGCTGAGTGTTCTCATGCTGAAAGTTTTCCAAAGCAGTGCTTGGGTTCTAGGGAGGGCAGGCCAGTATAGGAAAACAAATGGATGTGAATTTCCACATAATTAGAAGAGATCCAGATCATTGTTTTGGTCTCCAGTCTCAATGTGTGCTTTACTGCAGGCAGGAGGCATACTCATTCTTTGCTTCAGTGAAGCTGGCGGAACCACCAGCAGTTCGGCAGTCAAGCGTGTACTTCACGGCCTCTCTGTCACTATTTGACAGTTTTAATCAATACTTACTGCCTCTCTATTCTGATGGACAAAATCTGACCAATCACTGAGTTACCGCTGACATTTAGGAGAGCACTTTTCTGTGGACCCCATGTGGTCCAGCTCTTAAGAACATCTAATTCTATATTTAGGTCACATTGGAGGATTACACTGGTGGCTGTTTCTAAATTTGGTGTGATAAAAGATCAAGGGCAGTTTCAAAAAAAAGTTGCTGTTTTAATATGTGAAGCCTTATTTTATGATATTATTAGCATTATATCTGCAGCTGTTACTGAGGGGACCAAGCCAGCTCTTCTGAAGCATGATTGCTTGATGCATGCAAATGTCCTTTGCTCTCCCTTCACAATGACTTTTAAAGTTGTCTTCTTGCCCTTACAAAAGTCTACATTTTGAATATGTACTGGATTCTTTTATAATGTAATAATTTCTGCTTAAGGATGTACCTTTATTGGGTTATTACAGACGACAACAACAGTTCTCCTATTTCATGCCTGTTGAAGTCTGCACTTTTTCTTCAGTGTGATGTGGTGGTGATGAGAAAAGAAGTAATCACAGATACAATCAACATACAGCAAGAAAATTAACAAAGATGTTTTTATCATCTTGTTTATTAACTACTACTCCCTCAAACTAAACAAACTTTACCATTTATTCATATAGGAATGTTTTTGGAAAGTGTGCTGATTTGAGCAAGATTGTATTTGCATCTGAATTATGTACGGCATTTCTGGTATCTCAGATCTGTTAGTAATGCCATTCATTACGAGGTTGTACCTCATAGGAACAAGCTACCTTTGCGTGTGTTCTCTGTTGTTTAGGCATTCCTCTCACACACTTCTGTGTCCTCATCCAGCCAATTAGTCCTTGCTGCTCCCTTTTGCCTAATAAATCACAGCTCTGTCCACTAGTGTCACTGGTACTAATGGAAATGTAGTTCTGCTGCTGAGCTGTGCCTTGTAGAACACACTGTAAAAAATGTCAAGTTCTTGACCTGTGACAAAAGTCTAGAGTATTGTATTTGAAAGTGCAAAAAGACTAAACAAACTAAACAAACCCCCTGGAAGAAAGGGGTGAAGAACTGATTATGGTGATGAGTAACAAACTTTTTGTGGATACCTAACAATCAGAATATATTCCTTGTCATTGTTTAAATGTGATGCCAAAATTGCATTCCTTATTTTGACATTTTGTTTCTGTACTTTTGTGAAAATAGTGATGTAGTAGACAGTAAAAAAAAAATGATCCTGCTTCAAGTCAGTCACATCGGACCCTGAAATAAAGAATTGTTGTTTAGGGTTTTTCAAGCAAAAAACCCAACAGCCAATAACAACCTTAAGAAGAACATATTAATAACCTACAGAATTATAATTTTATGATGGAAAAATCAGTTGAGTTTAAACCAGATATGTTTTTAACCAGCAGGAACTGAGGTACAGTTAAATAATGTAAAATTATTGCTGTGAAAATAGTAAATGAGAAGGTAGAGAAGATTGATAAAAGGACATCACAGAGTTTTCTTTTAAGTAAGTTGACAGGTTGACATATCTAGGCAATACTGAGTTCTTTTTTCAGTGATCTGGAAAGAACTGTAAAATCATTACTGATGTACAAGTGACACCAAAGTATTGAAGTAGTCAAAGTGTGGCCAGGAAGGTGCTGGGACATCTTCAGCGTTACTTGGTAAGCGGGGCCCATCAAATGAGCGAAGTACTTGTTAAAAAAGCCTCCCTTATCTGTTAAAAAAATGGAAATGCAGGTCAGAGTGGACTGTGTGATGAAATGCAGCAACTCTGGAAAAGATTTAGGAGTCAGTGAATGAATAATTCAGATTGATCTTCTATAGTGGTGCTGTGGCATAAAGAGCTAATTCAGACTTTATAAATATAAACTGGAATGGCAGATAGTAGGAAGAGATGACTTTTACTTCTGAGTGTGTTATTGATGAAGCTCATACTCAAGTGCAATATCCGCTTCTGATGTCCACATTTTGAACAGGACTTTAGTAATCAAATAGGTTGCAGAAAAGGCTGGATGTGTGCACTTAGGGCTTGAGAAAATGCCTCAAGTAAAGATTTGAATACTTTTGAAAGTGCGTAAAGGAACGCTGGTTGTATATAAATACCTTCACTAGAGGAAAGTGCCAGCTATTGACGAGTTCTCTGGTGCAACAAAGATAGTAACAAAGGCCATTATTAACAGATAGGAACATCATTTGAACATAACAGGAAAAAAAAAAAAAGTCTGGCTTACAGAACATTAAATTGCAAAATTTTAAAGTTTTCCTTCAACTGGTTGTGAACTGTTGGACTTGGCACAGGATAAGTGAGTAGAGTACAGTGCTGTGTGATTGTCTAGAGAATACTACTCCTGATTTAATGTATCTGAGTGGTTTGCAGATTTTGTTCCTCATAATTTGATAGATCAAATAAAGGTCAGTATAAGCTCTGAATGGACATCTCACTGTTTGTCTTGAGAATTATAGCAGAGGTATTGCAATGGCAGTGCTGAAATGTTTATCCAGGACAGTTAAAAAATCAAAATCAGAGGTATGGTGGGGTGGTTTGGGACTATAACCTGTGTATTTACTGTCTTAAGAGTATTCAGTAGATACATTAGAGGTACGGATGGGAGGACTGTACTGGAAGATAATTCAGCAGAGGCTGAAATCTGCAAGCATCTTGTTGGTTCCCTGGTTGATACCAGAGGATTACTGACTTTGTTGTTATTGTTTGAAAATTAATGGATTGGCCTGTTTGATTGATTTACTTCAGTGTCTGTGAGCTAAATGCTAGTGGCTATGTATCTTGAGCTGTTTAAGAGATGTTAAAAATATCAGGGAAGAAAATCCACGCTGGTTTATGACACCAAGTGAGATGAGATGTTGTTCCTTCTTCCTTTAAGCCCTTCCCATCTTTTCTTTGTCAGAGTGTTGTTAAGCAAAGTTGCTCCAGACAGTCATGGGTTCTGCCTGTCTTCCAGGTTGTACATTGGACAAGCACTGGATGAAGCTGTTTGCATTTCAGTTACTCCAGTGTAAACTGAACTGGGGACTCTTTTCACTGTAAGTCCTCATCACTTCTGGTTTTGTAGAGTAGGACAAAGTGCTGTTAGCTTGCCATAGAGACTGCCGTGGACAAGACAAGGGAAAGATTTTGGTTAAAAATACCTTGCACTCGGAGTTTTATTCTGAGTGTGTATGCAATCCATACCCAAGCAGTTTTCTCCTCCTTCTTGCACTCTCAAAGCTCTAGTGCCTCAAAATGTGATTAAAAGAAACTGAACAAACAACAACAATCAGATAAAGGTGG